CTAAAAGGTGGGCGGGGGGTGGGGGGGGGAAACATCAGCTGCAGGACAACTATAGGCAATATTGATGACCTAGCCCTTTGCTTGATTTTTTTGGGGCACAGCTTACATAGTTTAGAATACCAACTAACGAACAAAATAAACATCTCTTCAATGTTAAAACATCTAAGTAACAATATTTGGTATTATTTAGTTCAGTACTCATCAGATTTATTATTACCTGAAAGCAAATGTATCGGCTCTTTTACCACAGTGGAAAAGTTCAGTAGCACACATAGGAAATGACTGATTAACGAGCTCTTAACTAAAGCTGCCTATGTCAAATCTATTTGCACGCACTGAGTGGAAACAGTTTTAATGTGCTGCTCTATGATTACCGATATCTCACACAAATTCCCTTTCCACTGCAATCATTCATTTTGAGACGTTAACAATCGAGCGCGGCGAAATTTACAGAAAACCATTCTGCAGAGCCAACAACGTCGCCCGGGCTACAGCTATAGCTTAGAAAATTGTTTCAAGCAGGCTTCAAATCAAAATCACTCAAAAGTGACATTATCCCAACATTCCTATGCAAAAATACTTATTTTTGACACACTTTCAGAAATTGCTGTAAGTGTAACTGCTAGAGTAGAGAGCTGTGAAGAATGTCATATATCAAAATCCTTTGGTAAACAAATACCCGAGATATGGAAAATAATACTTCTTTAATGGATGTTCTTTTCCTGCAAGTCTCTAACCCGTAAATAAACTTAAAGGGCAAGCAAGCATGGGTATAACAAAATCCCAACCACCTCACGCCACTAATTACATTTATAGGGCCTTAGGTGCAGGCAAAGATAACACCTGTGGCTCTGTTTAGGGATGGCATTGTGGTGCCCCCATCATAGGAAACCCATATTCAAGTCCTTGACCATGTGAGTTTCACACATGGTAGTGTGGCCAACTCAGGCACTTACATACTGGTCCAGCAATGTGATGGAAAGCCTCACCGACCAACAGGAAAGTGCAAGTCGAGCTGGCCATACACTGCTTAGATTTTCAAAAGAACTTTCAAACGAAAGATCTTTCTTTCGACTTTCTATCAGCTGGTGGGGTCAAACCGACAATCAATTTTGACCGTAGTGACGAAAAAACTTGAAGGGTGGAAAATGTTTCTCAAATGAATGAAATTCTAACGGTGAATGTGGTTTTTGTTCAGAAACTTCATTCATTCCAAAATTGAGAGTCAAAATCAAAACGAAATTTCAATTGACATTCATCAAGTGTCTGATGGCATTATCGGGTGGAAAAGAAAGAGCTTTTGTATGAAAGTTTGCTCAGAAATCTACTAGTGTACGGCCAGCTTAAGGGCTGGGCAAAGAGTCTACGTCCTAGATGAAGTTGAGAAATGCATGTTATTACACCATGCATTTCAGGTCTCCTTCAATAAAGAAAGCTGAAATTCCATGCAGGCCCTCAGAGGAGCCTGCAACTTTATGAGAATTGCAGTATTCACCGTTTATGCCAGCACAGGTTTGCATTAACCACCTAAGAGCAGACAAAAAAAGGTCCAGCTCATATCATTAGCTGAAAGCCAAACATATGACAGGTGCTTGGGGAACCCCCAGGGTACATACGCTGCACATTGTTAACAATGGCCTAGGGGTTGTAACATGTCAACCAGCATCCAATGGTGCAATCCTCCAAGGGTACGCAGGTGCCTTTTTATTGAGAACTCCACCCTAGAATGAATAAAATGGACATCAAGTCTTCATTTCAGAAAACCTAGCTGCTGATAAAGCTCACGCAAATACATAAATATAATAAAGAATATCTATGGTCAGAAAAACTAAACATAAATATGTGCTTCTATATTGAATTTCCATAAGTTCTATCCCACTCCTAATAACCAGATCCATCTAGACATTTAAACTTGCTTATTGAAGATGCCCATAGGATGGAATTCCTCCTGTAAAGATGCACTTCCTTGTGTAACAATTCTCAAGAGAGCCTGCCGTCTGAACTACAACTCTGTACAATGTAACATTACTGCTTGCTGGAAGCAATGCATGATGGGATATGTAGTCTTGAGAAATCTAGATTGCATCACATCAAGCAGCAGGGAAAGACACAAAGCACACTGGGAATCCAGGAAGTTGTTGGAAGTGGTGGGCAGACGGAAGGCAGCACTCACTACATAAAAGATTTTTTTTCAAGTAAGCTTTGATTGTATTATCAGAAACATATCGAGTATGTATTCCTATTACAATGCTGATGTCATAACAGGATAGTGTATGGTTGGACTTTACAACTCCTTTAAAATGTACTTATTTTTATTATACAGGATTTATATAGCGCCAACAGTTTGCGCAGCGCTTTACAATATAAGGAAGACATTACAATCACAATAAAATTCAAGACAAGATGGGAAGGAGGGCCCTGCCCCTGAGGGCTTACAATCTAAAATGGAGGGAGAAGTGATACATGAGGAGGTAGCTGTGTGGGGATGAATTGTTTGAGAACGTGATGGTTGAGTGGTTAGGTTGAGGTGGGATAGGCTTCCCTGAAGAGATGAGTCTTAAGGGATACTTCTGCCTACTCCTTACAGAGCGGCTACTTACCGGAAGATAGAAAATTACTTGCATTTCAGTATCTTATATGGTGTTGAATGAAGACATATGATGTAAACATGTACTAAATTAAGTTATAAAGCAAACAAAGTGATAGAGAACAAAAGTTTACTGCAAATGAGTGTTCTTACAGTGTTTTTTAACTTGCTTTAAAGTTAGTTAACTGGCAAAATGAGTAAACTGTAATATTTGCTTTCTTTTCCAACTTCCAATTACAGTAGAACTTACACTAACACACATACAGAAGGCAAGCACTACAATTTTCACTTATTATAGACTGTACAAGGGTATCGCCTAACGTAACGCCTAAAAAAATGTCAGGCCGAAACCGAAATAATGTTTATTCTAACTTTTTCAAAAATTTTAATATTTTTTTTTAAAATATTTATTCATTTTTATTAACTATTTTTAATTTTTATTTTACTTTGAGGGGCTTCAGGAAAATATTGGGGGGTCCTAAACAGACCCCTGATATTTCCCTTTTAAAATAGGAAAAGAGATTGAGGACACAGAGTCCTCAATCTCTTTTTCTGCAGCCCGTTATAAATTAACAGGAATCCTCTATACTGAGTGTTCCTGTCCATTTATAACTTTGTGGATACAGTGCGTCTACTATATCCACAATCATGAATGATTAGGTGATGTAGATCACTTCCCATTCATTCATTATTGAGGATATAGTACACGTACTCTGTCCTCAATTATGCACAAACACTCAGCGATCACTGAGTATTTGTACAGCTCTCAATCCTGACAGCTGTCACATGAGGCTGAGCGAGCGGTGCGGTGAGGAGAGCTCAGCCTCCTGTGAAAGAGCTGGCTGTGTCCGCCCACACAC